CGCCGGCTCAGACATCACCCAGATTAACAAGGTTTGCACTAGATGTTGGGAAACCAGGACAATCTGATGATAAGTGGGCTACTGGAAGAAACCATACATGGATGAGACTAGAGAATGTATACAGTATCAAAAACTGCCTAAAAGTCCAAAAGAATGAGCAGAACTACATTTCCCCTCCGACATTCAGTTTCTAGTGTGAGTTATCTATCAAGGCAAGTAAGTCAGACTACCTCATATCCCAGCTGAAAGTCTGATTCAAATGGGTTAACATAAAGAGTGTCCTTTATATGCCCATGGAGTTGTAAGGTTATCACTTTCTCAAATCCCTTTTGCCAGAAATAAAATGTTTGAGCCTGGCCTCAAGTATTGTATCACCTTATGGGCCCCACTTTAAGAAGGATTCGGACAAACTGAATCAGGTTTGGGGAAAAGCAATTAAATCTGATCAGGGCACCAGAAATTAGGTCTTATTTGGAGAGGTTGAAGGGACAGGGAGTGTTTATCGTTGACAAAAGAAGACTGAGTGGATATATGATAGCAGTCTTCAAAAATTTGAAAGGATGATACACAGAAAGAGGTCAAGATCTGTTCTTTGTCATTTGAGAGGATGGGACATGGATGGGTTTAAGTTAAATTTAATGGATTTAAGTTACAGGAAGGCAGATTTCAGCTGAATATCAAAATGCTTTCTGTAACAGTAAAAGCCATTTGGGAGTCGAACCAATTGCCTACAAAGGGGTCAAGCTGTCCTTCATCAGGTGGGTTCATCTGTTAGGGATGCTTTAATCTGGGTGCCTGCAAAACAGGGGTTGGACTTGATGACCTAAGGGGCTTCTTCCAGGCCTCTCCTTCTGTGATGTATTTTCTTTGCCATTCTGCTAAAAATGTTCCGTTGTGTTGGGATTTGTTTTTAATTATTGTTTATTGTTTCAACTACAGAGGGTGTTGGAAAATGATGAAAATGCAGATGAAGTGAATGAAGAGGAAGAGATAGAAGAAGATATTCCAAAACGAAAAAACAGACCCCGAGGACGGGTAAGTTGCTTTAGCCTCATGGGAAGAAGAAGGAGGGGGTCAGAGTAATCCCAGTTCTCATCTTTACACATCTTTACATATTACACATCTTTATATTTATGCATATAGAGACACAAAGTTTAATGACACCCAGCAGTATGTGATATGTTCTAAAACTGTGCGGTGATCCATTAATCATGTGTAGTAGTTAATTCACACCTGCAGATTTTGTGGGTGCCTCACTGGTATTTTTGTTTGCCACTCTCTGATTTTTAGTATGAAGCCATCATGAAATGAAATTATATAAAAACACACACACATATATAGTTATGTCACATAACTTGTATTATTTGTTTTCTCCCTGTGGATGAACTGAAAGGGTGTGTGTGTGTGTGTATTTCCCTTGGCAGTTTCAGGGCAGGGGCGAGCTGGCTATTGATCAATGCTCTCCACATGATGCTCCAGCTTCAGGCTCTCGCTAATCAGGTCCCCTGGCAAGAAACCCACGCAGCAGGCAGGCAGCTCACCTCCTGCTCTTCCTGCTGCTTGGCTGTCTCAGCCCCCTCAGCTCGCTGGGGTGAACTGCTGGAAGCTCTCAGAACTGAGTGAACACCAGCCCCTCCAAGTTCCCAGCAGCAGCTTCCCAGCAGAGCTCTCTATTATATTCACCAGCACCTACCTAGTCCTTCATCAGTATCTTCCTAGTAAATATCCTAGTTGGGAGAAACAAGACCTATGTTGTTTCTAGGTACACACTAGAAGATGCCAAGAGCAGAACGCAGGATGCATCCAGTCCTGAGAATTAGGGGCTGTAGAAAATCTCCTCTTTCTCTGTTTAAATGCAGGTTTGCTCTGTTCTAAGGGAAGATGGAGTGGAATGCATTCTAAAGAGAGAAGGAAGTATATTTGAGGTGACTTTCCCTCCAATCTTTCTCTTGCAACACTTCTCTTCCAGCTGAGAACTGACAGTAGAAGAAAGCTCAGCTCGGGGCAGGGGGAGGAAAAGTACCAGAGGACTGGGTCTATATGACTGACTGCATGGGGGGAAAAAGCCTCACAATCTTTGCCCTACATGTCCTTGTGAATCATATAAGTTCCACCCCTCTCCAGATGAAGCAATTCAGCATTTAAAGTAGGATGGCCATTATACTACTTTACAAAAGATGCTTCTCTCCTTCAGGAATGGGAGAAAGGCAGCTTTGGGTCACTGAATGGCCTGTGTTAAGTAAGCAAGAGTTTTGGAATCTGCACTGCTTAAAAAATAGAAACAAGCTATTTTCCTTTCTTTTAGGATTCCACATCTATGGCACGTTGTCAGTTTGTTCTTTAAGGATCACCCTAGGATACAAGGGCATACATAATTGCACCTGTTGTTTGTTCTACCATTTTGGCCCTAACTCTACTCGTTTCCCAGAGTCTATTTTTGAATTTGGCTCCAGTTGGTCAATGATGGGATACTAGTAAACAAAACAAAGTAAGTTTTAGATCTGGCCCACATCTGCTCCATGTTAGGGTCTGTTAGAAAACATTTTTTCTACTGAAAATTTGAAAGACTCTTTGATGCTAGTCCAGGCTATAGATAAAAAAAAAAAAAAAAGGAGAGCAGGGGTCTTGAGTTGCCAATAACAGTACTCTGATAGAAAACAGAACCGGCAGAGAGATTACCTGATTACAATCTTCCCAACTATGCAGTGCTGTGCTTTCAATTTCTATTCAGAGGAGGTACTTGAGAACACGTGGGTATGCAAAGGTAGCATTAATGTGTAACTCAGGAGAGAGGCCGTCTTTTTCCTAGGATTGCATGGCTACTATGGGGAGGCCCAGGCCCCTGCCAAAGCCCCGCACAGTCCTAATATTTTACTTCTGTTTAACCCAGCAATTATGTCTAAATTGGCATCAAGAGACATTCATTTTGCTCCCTTTTTAGTAATGAGAAGGGGCCCATTCTAATGTCAGGATATGGATTTGCTATTTGCAACCGGGAATCCAGGTGGTAGAATTCCAAACTGTAACTTTTAAGGCTTCAAGTACCACCCTGTAATAATGAAATCACAACTCTGGCATTTGGGAGAATAAGAAAAGGAGAGAGAGGGAGGGCATTGTCTTCTTCACTGATATACCAATTAATTTATTACATTCAGGGAGTTGTTTACACAAAGGAACATTAAGCAAACAAAAAGGACACCCCATTTTCAGTTCCGAATCCATTATTTCATTTTTAGCCCCTTGTATGAATCACCTGACCTTAATGTTGAGTTTGTACTTAAGGGGAATAAGAAAATTGGGATTCTGTCATCAATCAGTTACTATTGTTCCATGAAGGAATGCCATCACTGCTTTAATCACATGGAATTTGGGGAGGCATATCATTCCTGTTCATATATGTCATATACATGGCCTCAATTCTTATCCCCTGCAAGTTTAGCAGCAAGTATGAAATGGTCATGAACATATATTGAAACCTATCTCAAACTTCCAGCTGACAGTGGTGGTGCTCTGTTCAGTCAGTGAACCTATGCAGGGGAATAATTGCTATGGAACAGGAATGGACAATCTTTCAGAACAGTGTTTCTCAACCTTGGCAACTTTAAGATGTGTGGACTTCAACTCCCAGAATTC